TGTTCTTGATTTAATTTTGGAAAGTGAAATCTGTCCAGAAAATTGTCCATTTCCTTTAGATTTTCAAATTTTGAGGAATATAGGTTTGACCTGATGATTCTCTGGATTTCCTCTGTGTCTGTTGTTATGTCCCCCTTTTCATTCCTGATTTTATTAATTTGCATGTTCACTCTTTGTTGTTTGGCAAGTTTGGATAAAGGTTTTTCTATCTTGTTGATTTTCTCGAAAAACCAACTTTATGTTATATTGATTCTTTGTATTGTTCTCCTAGTTTCCATTTTATTGATTTCAGCCCTCCATTTGATTATTTCCTGCCATCTGCTCCACCGGATGTATTGGCCTCTTTGTTTTCTAAAGCTTTCAGTTGTGCTGTTAATTCTCTAGTGTGATTATTCTCCTGTTTCTTCATATGGGCATTTAGCATTATGAACTTTCCAATTAGCACTGCTTTCAAAGTATCCCATAGGTTTGGATATGTTATGCCTGAATTCTCATTGAATTCTAAGAAATCTTTAATTTCTTTTTTATTTCTTCCTGGCCCCATGAATTGTGCAATTGGGTGTTACTTAATTTCCATGAGTTTGTAGGTTTTCTGTAGTTCATGTTGTTGTTGAATTCTAATTTTAAAGCATGGTGTTCTGATAAGACACAGGGGATTATTGCAAGTTTTTTGTACCTGTTGAGGTTTGCTATGTTGCCAAGTATGTGGTCGATTTTAGAGAAGGTTCCATGTGGTGCTGAGAAGAAGGTAAATTGTTTTGTATTTGGATGGAATGTTCTATAGATATCTGTTAAGTTGAATTGTGCCATAACTTCTACTAGTTCTTTTGTTTCTTTGTTAAGTTTCTGTCTGGTGTTCCTGTCCAGTGGTGAGAATGGGGTGTTGAAGTCTCCCACTAGAAGTGTGTGCGGTTTTATGTGTGATTTGAGTTTTAGTAATGTTTCTTTTACAAACGTGGATGCCTTTTTATTTGGGACATAAATATTCAGAATTGAGATTTCATTTCATCCTGATGGATTTTTCCTGTGATGAGTAAGAAGTGACCTTCTTCATCTCTTTTGACTGATTTTAGTTTAAAGTCCAATTTGTTGGATATTGGGATTACTACTCCTGCTTGTTACTTGGGTCCATTTGATTGGAAGATCATTCCCCAACCTTTAATTCTTAGGTACCACCTGTCTTTGCAGTTGAGGTGTGTTTCTTGTATGCAGCAGAAGGAAGGATTCT